ATTGCAATAGGTTAAATGATCTGCAGATCCCAGCGGTGCCTGCTTGTACATACTGAGAGCATCTTGCTTTGTGTGCTTGTGTTTCTGGAGGAGTGGTTTTGTTGTGTTTTAATTTGGATTATTTTGCAAATTGCTTTCTTGTCTCTTTTAAGTAGCACATGCTCCAAAGCACTGGAGTATTTGACTTTGTAGTGTTTCTTCTAACAATATGTTATGAAATATAGTCCCACTGGTTTCAGTAAAAAGAACTTTTCCAAATGAATTGTAAGAATTTTTTTTTTGTAACAATTTCTTTCATATTTCTTTGTCCTGACCCACAGATATCTCGAGCTTTTCACTGGGGAAAAAAAAGTCTCTGAGGGAGAGACCAGACCTGTAAATTTTTAAGCCCACAGTAAATATTTCAGTGCATTGTGTGTAGGGATCACCTCGGGAGTTCGGTTTAGAAACGCCTCTGAAATGTAAACTATCTGCTGAAGATCAGGGCTGACAAGCGTCCACATAGGATTTGATTTAGCACAAGAAACCAGCTTGGAAGTGGAAGCACAGGGCAAATCTGCATAAAGCACTCGGCAGCATTTCGATGAACAGAGCACGCTCTGCCAGGGCAGAAACATTGTCTCAGCTGTTTGACTAAGAGTTTCCAAAGGTTTGAAAACAGCCTTGTTTTCTTGCATCTCATTTCCGAGACCCTGTTTCATCTGAAGTCTAATGACAGAGCTCCAGATTTGTAGTGGCAATTGCCGTGCTGGTAGCTGTCTTTGGGAATGTGGCAACAACTAAAAAACGTAGGAGAATGCAGCACATGAGCATAAATGAGAAGCACAGTTGTTGAAATGGCTTTAGGAATTCATGTAATCTGCTTCAGTATTTCTCCAAATGCTGTCTGTCAGGGGACAGGTTTTTCTCTAGCAAGACGTGCAGGGTGGTGTGGGTATAAGATATAAAGGTGACAATAATAACAAGACATAAAGTGAAAGCAATATTAAAAGTGCATCTGTTCCATCATGGCTTGTGGTGGTGAGAACTCCAGACTTTGCAGTGCCTGTTTGGAGCACAGTTTCTCTGCCTGTGGGCAACAGCATGTGCAGTGAAGGGGCACCAAGTAAGTTTTCACACACCCTTCTTAAATCATACCATTGTATTTTGGGACAAAATGAGAGGCAGGACTTTGGAATTTCCTGGTATTTGTTGAAGCATTAGAACTACAGTGTGTTTTTAAGTCCTTCTCCTCTTCTTTTTTGCTCAGTCATCTCTTTGACACTCTTAGGTGTTGCTACCTGGGCCTGCCTGCAAAGGATGAGAAGGCAAAGCTTCCTCACCTGTTAGACTGTGGTCTTCAGATTCCTTTGTGTTAAAGGGAGTCAGTGTGGCTAAAGGCTGGCTTGAAAAGCTTTGCCAGCCTGTGTTGCTCTCCAGAGAATGGTTATGCACATCAGCTATTCACCCTCAGTTTTCCTAGGGAGGAGAACTAATTTTCTTTCCTGCGCAATGATAAGATTTGGTTACTTCCTGAGCCGAAAATAACGTGCCCTGTTGCTTAAACCTTGTTAGCAAGCTGAGACTTGCTGAAGAAGCGTTTACTTCTTCCACTCCTCAACCTGTCAGGTTTTCTGATTATCCTTGCTTGTGCTCTGCTGGTGGGGCCAGGTGGAAAATAATAAAGCCCCTCTGCTTATCTGTGGTCAGCACTGACTGAAAGGGAGAGCTTATCTCTCGTGCCCATGTGTCCTGGAGGAAGCCAGGCTGAAGCAATGAATCCCCACTCTTAACAACAGGAAAACCCAGAATTTGACTTAGAGGGGATGACTGATTGGAGAAAACAAAAAAAAGACACCAAGTAATGGGGATGGGTGTCAAGTGGCCGAAGCTGTGTTTGTGGTGTGCTGAGGTGTGGCAGTGCCAGCTCCCTCCCCGCTGCAAACAGCTCCCAGAGCAGTGCAGGCTGCACCAGCAGGCTGGCTGTGTGTGCTGGAGGTCACAGCAGCAGCCCACAGATTGATTCGTATTTGTTTATTGGCATTTCATTCTGTAGGAGCAGAGTGGGTTTCAGCTCAGGGTGGTGAGAGCAGAGGGATGGTGGTGGGATACTAACAGGAGCTGGCTCAGCCTTTAACCTGCTTATGCTGCAGTACCGTGGCAGCAGGTGTGCTGTTGTATTCCATGACTTCAAGAGAAGTGGAGGATGTTTTGGAGAGATGCCCTTGTACAGTGACCTTCCTACCTGTAAGCTCTCAAAATAATGCAGAAGTGTTCAGGAAGATGCCAAGGGAATTACTGCATAGGCTTGTCCAGAGACCAGCTGCTGGGACTGGCATCCATCACACCACAGCTGAAGGGAGTGTGCAGGGGCTAAAACCATAAACATCGTGACTTAGTGACTGATGCAGTTTTTTCTCCCTTGCTTTGACTAAAAGATTGGGTAGAAGAGGTAAAAGAGGAGCGAAGCACGGTGTCCAGAGGAGCTTGACTGCAAAACAGGGCATTGCAGCTTGGTGATGAGGGGGATATGGGCAAGATTTTGTGGGTCTTGGATTGCTGAACTTCTGCAGTAGTGTGTGCTTTGCTTGTTTCTACAGTAACTTAAAGATGTCTAATTTTCCTTGTCTGGGAAAGCTGTTCCTGAACGATGCTTTGGAATTTCCCTTATTTGCAGTTGAATAATTCAGCTCTAAGCTATATGGATTATCCAAATTCACCTGCCAAACCCTCCCATGAATGAAAGGTGCAAGTGGCTTGCCTAGGAAGAGTTAATGTCACCTGTAATAACTGACCTTCACCCAAAGATCTGCAAATATATTTTATTTTTCTAACCTTTACTTTAAAGTTCCGGGTACAGGTAGACATTATCTCAGTTTAAAAACTGAGAAAGTGCAGGCACTGCTGGATGTTAATCTGGCTCTTCCTAGACTCAAACTGTTCATTTGCAGGACAAAATACCCTGATCTTCTTAGCTGTTGCCTCTCTGTCATGTGTGCTGAGAGTAATGAATAAATAGTAAATTTAGTAAATCTGTACATTTGGAAAGATAAGAAACAATGGAAAAACCTGGATGTTGAACAAACAGCCACATTTCTAAAACACTGGGGCTTTTCCTTATTGCATGAAAGGAATTGCTGTCCCAGATGGTTAAACACAAAGGGATTAGGTATTCAGCAGGATTTTGTGCCGTGTATTGTCTTAGTAACCATGGTGCCACGCTCTGCAACCTTGCACAAGAGTTTCCTAGACCCTTTTCCAGTGGTTGCTGTGAATCACTGCGTTGTTTCTTTTTTTAGTCGGACCTTGTGCATCTGCAGGATCCACAAGTTCATCCTGCCGCTTCTCCTGAGTAATGAGCTGCCCGGCTGATCCTGGAGGTAGTGGTGGGTTTTGCCAGTTCCCAGAGCAGTCTGATTACATTCAGAGAGCTAAGATGTTTTAAGCAGTTAAATTGAAATCACTGGAAAACTCCTAATTTCCAGCAGTCCTGGAGGTGTGGAAAGTGTTTTCTGGATTTCCTGCATGCCAGGACTTCCTCTCTCCAGCTGTCATGCTCAGAGAAAGCACCTTCTCTTTGCCATCCGGTCTCTTTGGGCTGAATTCCCTGTTTGTCACCAGCTCTTCTGGTCTTTCTTTTTCTCAGCTGAAATTTTTGTTCCTGCTTTTGCAGACAGAAGCAAACCTAAATTAGGCTTTAGTCCTCCTGATTTGCACCTCTAGGTCACTCAGTGCAAAGATACTGCCCTGTGAGTTAGTTTTATCCTTTGTGGTGGAATTTTGATATAATTCTGATGTCACTGGGATCATTTGCTAACTATTGCCAGGAGAAGCATTAACTCCTATGCGCCTATAATCTGTTACACAGCTGACATTAAATGTGTTCCCCATGTAAGGCAGAAAAAGGTTTCAGTTCTTTCAATGCACCAAAAATCTCTGTAGCTAGAAATTCCCGACCCTTTGGATGGAATACTGAGAGAACATTCAGAAATTATTGGGATTTATTTGCTTGTGCAGAAAAAAGTTGTTTGATGGGTTTCCGTTTGAAGCAACTGCTTTTAAAATTCTATTTAAAGTCTTCTCTTCCTTTTCTTCTGGACAGTACTGCAGGATGTCTGTGCTCCATTTCTTGCAAGGAATGACATCCCAAAAATACCATTTTTTTTTTCCATGTGGGAGCTCTTCTCATCACTGATGGAGAGCCTTGCTCTTCAGGACCACTCTCAAGGCTCTGCTAGTGAAAGAGTGGAAGAGGTTTGGGCATTGGTTGCCATCGTGTGTAACAATTCTTGTGTCTGGCATGAGAACAGAGGGAAGAACTAGCACTGGAAACAGGGAAATAGGGTTGACAAGACCTGGTGATACCAGTTAAAGAAACTAAGCAGAAGGGGCCTGTCCAAGGTGATTCCCTCCTTCCCTTTTATTGAACTCAGTAATCACGGACAGTGGAGGGGAGAGATGTAAAACACCCAACAAGGAGATAGGGAGTAACTCCTGTCATAAAGGCTTCTATTCATGGCTTCTCCACCTCCTTGCTTCCCTTAAATATTATATATTTTATACCCAACTTACAGACCTGTTAATTGAGCTGGGTTTGGTAGGTTCAGAAGGAGAATGTGGTGTTTTGAGGCTGGGCACTAAACCACAGAGCTGGCTGAGCTCACTGGAGGGTGCCTGAGGCTTTGTGGCCTTGGCCTTCCATTGCTTGAAGACCTCCAGATGTGCAGGGCTTTGCACGACCCCCACTGCATTCCTGGGGTGTCTGTAATGAATGGACAGCATTCAGTGGGAAAAGTGGGTTAGTAACAGAGTTTGAAGGAGGTGGGAATCTTTATTGGAAGTGTCCTCTTCCAAGTTTCTTACCAGGCTGCAGGTTTTCTGGCATATGTGCAGCTCTGGGGCGTAGCATTCTTCCCAGCGTTTTTGTAGAACAAGGATAGCGAAATAGGAATATTCACACACCAAACTTTTTCCAGCCCTGACTTCTTGGCAGACCTTGTGGGCTGAGCAAGAGAAGTCTTAGGTTCTTGGAAGGCAAGAAGAAGCTTTACATTCTGGTCAGAAACAATGGGGAGAGGCAAACCTGTGCTATCTAAAGAGCAGACTGGAGAGAAAATACTGTTACTGGGAGAGAGGGACATTTTAATTCTGGACTATTCACATTCCTGAAAGGTGAGTCTGAGTTTGAATAAGAAATTGTATATCCAGAGGGAAGCACATTTTGCAGTATGGTCTTTGCAAGTTTTTGGGGAGAGGAGGATTTCAAACCCCTGTCTTCTGAGCACTCAGTCCTCCTTAATGCCTGGCAGTGCCTGTCTCTCCACCCTTCCCGTGATTGCCTGTGCTTCCATGTGCCAGTACTGTCTGCTGGTTGTTTACACACCTGGTGAGAAACAGCACTGATCAGCAGTGTCCTTGTGAGACCAGCTCTGGGGATGCCAAGGCACGATGGTCTCTGGGAAGCACTGATTCCACCTGTGGCATTTGCCTGCCCTGGAATGGGGCCTGAGCTCCCGTGTAGGGGCTGCCCTGAGGTGAAGTGCTGTTTGGTGACTGGCAGTGGCTGTGGAGTTAATGCTGTGCTTTGACAAGACCCCCCGTTGCAGGGACTGCATTTTCCTGGTTCTCACAGGGGTTCATCCCCAGTGAGTGCCCGCTGGGTTGTTGTGTCTCTGTCACCTCGTGCCTGTGCCAGCCCCCGACACCTCCTGCCAGAACAAGGGCCAGCCTCGTGTAAAGAGCCCCCTGTGAGAGTGGCTGGTAGCCAGTAATCCCTTTAGAAAAGTCTGTGCTCCGAGAGTGCTGTGTGGCAGGTCCTGCTGTTACTAAATTTTGCATTTCACCCTTGGCTTTTTGCCAGGTCCCACGGGGAAACTTGGTTTCCAAGAAGCAGTCAGAGAATAGGAATAGTGGCTGCTCTTTGCTGGGGACCTGCCAGGCAGTGCTCATCCTTCCCTGGGAGGAGAGGGGGGCAGCACTGGAAGGAGGATCACATGTTGGGCTCAAATCCTCATAACCAAGTCACAACAGCAGCAGGAATACTTTGTGGTTCTCTATTCAAATAGTCCCTTGTGTGAGCACTTCAGGTCCTGAGGCTCACTGCCTTTGCCCCTGCGACCCTTTGTACCTCTTGGAGGCAGAACAGTGCGTGCACGACTTCAGGGTAACTTTGGGTTCAGTTTGAGACTAAATCTCCAGCCTTTGGGAGAGGGACCTGGCAGGTGAGGGTCCTAGTAGAGAACAGCAGTAGTGACTGAGCAACCAAGTCCCTTGGTTAACACCCAGTTTGTGATGTCCAGGTCATTGCAGTGCCACCCTTTGGTAAGGGTCAGCTGTGCTTTTTGTTTTTCCTCTTCTTATTCCCCTCCCATTTGTCAACATCAGGTGCTGGTCACAGGTGCTGGGGGGCCTGTCTTGTAATAGAGTTGAACAGAGTGTGGATCCTCCTGCTCCTGTTCGAGGGGACACACTAATGGAAGGCAAGACATGTCTGCTTGACATAAAACTGAGGAGTGAGCACTTTGAGAGGTAGTTGATGGGCACAAGGGTGCACTGACTTTACCTAGGAAGTCCTCACTCTGCTCACTGAATTTGGCCTTCAGCTTCACAAAAACTCTGTGTTTAGATTCATTAATGCCCAGGGATCATCAGTGCAGGTACTTATGAAGCCTCATGATTTTTTCTTGGCGGTTGCATTCGGGAGTAACATGTGAAAGGACTGAGTTATGCTTGTTTTGTTTCTCTTCTCCTCATTCCCATCTGTTAAAAAACAAACCCATAAACAAAAATGAGGCCACTCCATCATTTCTCATCTCTACCAGGCTGCTGTTGCAAGGCAGCTTTCTCTTCATGAAGTGTTCACTTGGTACTGAGGTCCAGCCCATTTCTATTTTGGGACAGAAGAGACGGGAGAGGGTGTTTCACTTCCTGCAGCTCCTGCTGAGTGAAGCCACTTGTGGTCCCCAAGGCCTGGGCTGCTGATGTGAAACTATCAACTTAAACGGTTGTGCTTATTGAGAAGAAGAGAGTGCCTGAGGATATTTGTCATATTTGTGTGAACTGTGTTTCTTCCATTACAACTTGATGTCATTCTCTGTGGCATCTTTAGCACCTGCTGTTTTTATAGTCTACACTTCTTTGATTGAAAGCTTCTTGGCCAAGGATCTAGGCTAAAATTTGCTCAAATAGCTTGAGACTTATTTTCATGAGTTGCTTGGGCTTGTGAGGTACCAGTGTGGCCCCAGAAATTCCCCATGTCCTGTATTAGTACTCCCCCTTTAATTTACCCTCCCAAGTCACATCCCTCCTTTTTTATTTTCAAGGATTTTGGTTTTAGAAGGAGAAATGAATATTTGGGACAAAATTGGAGCCTCTGGAAGACAGGTGGTTGTTTGTGGTAGTGATGTCCTGAAGAGGGTTTCCATTGCCACATACAGCTTGGTAATAAAATATGTGCCCACTGTGCTGGGTGGGTGCATTTTATGATCTATATAAAATCTCTAATGCGCCACTCTGAGGAAGTAAAAAAAATCCCAGGTTAAAGGTTTTTTTTTGGGTCTGTCTTCCATTCTGGTCAAACCCTGCTCTTGGGGCAGGATCCAACTTTCCACTTCATGTGAATGGATACCCTGCTTGAAATAATCAGCTGGCTAGTCATGTTTAGCAACTTAGAAGTAGTGTTTCTGTCTTTCTGCTGTGGTAATATTGACAGGAATCTTGTTTTATCCCATTAATTCTTCAGTCATCTCAAACCTATCAAATGTGTGAGTCCGTCAGACAGTGTAGTTGTTGTTTAAAATTGCTGCTGAAAATTAAAGGGAAGCATTAACCCAGGAAGTGTAGTGGCATGCAGAGGTTTTGTAGAAAACAGTTACTGTGCAGTTGAACAGTATCTGCTCTGTGCAGCTTGGAGTCTAAAACGTCAGAAATTCTATTTCAGGGCTGTGGCAAATCGCTTGAAGCTTTTTAGGGCTGGACCAAGCATCAACACAACACGTCTTCCAAGTTTCTGTAAAAGTCCTAGTAAAGCAGTATCTAAATATAGTGCTGATGTACAAGTGTTCCTTTATTTTTCCCCTGTTGTGTTTTGCTTTTCCTCACTGTACGTGTATTCCATGTCGAGGGGGTTCGGTTTGTGTGCGGAGTTTTCACTCAAAATATTTGACTGTCTACAAACACGAAATGAAAGACAAGAGACTAAAACAAATAAATACATGTCCTATAAAAGGAACGAAGATGGGAGGCAGCTGTGCTGCCTGGAGGAGAGCAACCATCCTTCTGGGTGTGTGCTGCCTCACTGGCACAGAGACCAGCTGTGGAACAGTTTACTCTGTTCGGAGCAATATCTGTGCCTGGCTGATCTTCTGCCCTTCCAAAATGATCTGCTCAGGTCAGAAACCATGGCCTGGATCCTCTCCCTCTGATAGGGGGAGCATAACTGTGAGGATTTCTCCTGTGGGCAAGTGATTGATCCCCTTCCAGTAAGCAGTTTATCCCATCTAAGGTTTTTGTTTGCTTCCGGATGTGCTTCTGGACTATATTAAGGAGTTTAGGTTGACATAATTTCTAAATCAGTTCTTTGGGGGTAGGTGGGGTGAAACCAGCTTCCAGTGCAAAACAAATTGCCGTGAATTTGTATTTCCCTACCTCTGTTAGCTTCAACTGAGTGAGGCCAAAGAATCACTTAGGTGTCTGGTTAAGGTGCCAAGAGTGTACTTGTAATGCATTTGGGCACAAAGTTCTCTTATCTCTTACCTGACTTAAAGGGCTTTGGGAAGCTCAGTGTTTTGAAGATTTTGGATTTTGTGTCAAAAATTTTAGGGTTCTGTCGTAGTTGTAGGTGGTCCTCCTTAGAGCTTCTCTTGGTGTCTTGGATTTGTAGATTCTCTTTTCTGTCCAAATAGAGATTTCAGTGTTAGTCCATGCAGAGCATCCTGTAGGCTGGATTTCCACACCATTATTCAGGTGCCAGTCACAGCGATCCAGGGCTGTTCACTGCTTTGGCTGGTCCCAGTGGGCTCAGTGGCCACCAGCACAAAAGCAGCCGGTTCCCATCACCGCCTGCCCCCGGGAGCTGCCCGGGGCAGTGATGTGGGTGCTGCTGGGGCTTGAGAGCTCCCGCAAAACAGCCCCTGTTCCAGCTACTCCCACATACTTTCCTTTTTAATGCTTTGTTCTCCAGCAAAATGTTGCTTGTAAAAGGGGGAGGGAGGAGATCCCAGGCTATTATCTGCTAAGTAGGTCGTAATTCTGGTAAATAATTGATTTTTTTTTTTTTTCAGGCTTGAAATCAGAAGCAGGCCTTAAGTGCCAGTGTCAGACCACTGTGATTATCACTCCTTCTGGAATTTCAGTGCTTCATCTTGGGGAATAGTTGTCTGGCTCTTTTGGGAGGGGCATGCCACTGGAAATAAAAGGAGAAAGTAATTCTAAAACCACATGGAAAAAGTGTTTCTTTTGCTGCTACATTGGTTTTAAAGTTTTCCTGGTTTAAGCTACCTCCCATGGGAATTCCCTGCTTCTGGCTTGTGTTACACTCTAGATTAGCTGCTCAGACTCTTTACCTGTTCTTATTAAGCAATGGAATTTGGAAATGAAAGTGTTAAGAGCAGCAAGCGTCAGCATTGGCTGTGTGTGCTCTGGATGTGACTGTCTGTGCTGTTCTGCTTAATCTTTGAAAATCTTATCCTGCTGTGCAGACTGCTCAGGAGGAGTCTGCTCTGGGTTCTTTGGGTTCAGCCTGTATTTTGGCAGACCAAATCCTCTTCCCAGATAGCTGGGTCAGTCTTCTGCTGTGGGGAGTGCATAGAGACATCTGTGATGTGTGTTTATGTACAGATACTTGGTGTATATATTTTGTGGTTTTTACCTCTTTGTGGCCAGAGAGTTTCCCTGACAAGCTTCCTTCACCACGAAGGAAAGAGAAGGTCTTGTATGGGGAGGTGAGGTTTGGGGACACACTCCCCTGGAAATCTGATTATTTTGTGTCTTGCCCGGGAATGAGCCCTGACTGTTGGCAATCCTTAGTTACATCCCCTGCACAACAGCAATAGTGCAAAGGCTTCTCTGGGGCTTGCAGTGGAGACAGCTGTCCTCACAGGTAAGTCCTTCTGCTTTGCCCTCTTCTGCACCAGCTGACCTGAATTGCAGCTTCTGAGTGCCCTTGAAGTGTT